CCACCAGGTGCACCATCCTGTGGCGAGGCTTCGGTCGCATCTGGTATGTCGTCCTCAGCGTCGACGACAGTTTGCGCAACTTCCAGGACCTCTGCGCCGCCGCGGGCACCACCGCGCGATCAGTTTGATCCTGCCAAGCTCCACGAAGCAACGCGTGGCCCTGCGCCTCCTCCGGATTTGGAACCCTTTCCTGCTGCGCCTGCGCGAAGACATGCAGCGTCCGCCTCACGTTGTTCGCGGCTGCCTCATGATTATCACACTTCGAACCACTCATCGCGTCGAGCGCCTCCGCCAACCTGTCCATTGGCTCGGTGTTTGGATGCCTCTGGTCGAACCGCTTGAAGCTCTGCTGCCCCCCTCCCTCCACGGCCAGGTCCTTGCCCACATCGTCATCGTCGAACAGCGCCTGCGCAAGGCCGTCCAGGGACGTGAAGAACAGCTGCCCCTTGTCAGCAGCCTGGATGCTGTTCCGGAGGAGTCGTGCCTTCGCCCACTGCTTCCACCGCTTGTGCTCTCTCGGGTCCCGCGCGTCTGCTGTGAATGTGCGGTCTCGGAGACCACGTGATGACTCTGACGCCATACCGAGCCTCTCATTTCTCCTGAGCTCCCGATCCTCGCCTCTGCGTGTTCCGTGTGTGTGTGTGTGTGATATTGCTCCCCGCTGCCAATGCTGATCGGCGGGCGCCGTCAGCAGCTAAGATATGAACATTCCCTTCTTCTGCTGATCCTGAGCAGGCTCTGAAACCGTGGGCGGCCCAGCTTCCTTGAGCCAGGCTGCCTGCGGAGGCAGCACGGTCAACACACGGGGACCCTTCCAGGCGCGCACCTGTCGCCTCTTCCGTGAGTTCCAGTGGGGCCCATCGAGGTGCGGTCCAACGGGGGCCCAAAATAAGCATCGTCTCCATGGATGGTGCCTACTGCGCAGCAGTCTCAATTTTCGTGGGGCCCAGGGGGCCCCACTACTGGACCCAAACTAGACCCCGCCCCCCCTCCCCTTTTGTGTTTCCGGGCGCGCCACTGACGGCCACTCTGCTGAGCACCAGGGTGGGGGGCCCACAAGAGCGATGTGCCCGAGGAGATTGGTACTTGCACTCTGCTCGGCCCCGAGACGCCCTTGGCATGGAGCCATGGGCAGGCGGCACGCCATGCAGTCAATAGCCACGACCTCGGAGAACCTGACCTCGATCCGCGGCCTCGGCTTGACATTGTCGCCCGCGAGTCGCCAGCGGCAACGGCGTTGTGCCTCCGAGGTTTTAGCTCCCGCGCGGGCCACTGCAGGGGAGAGGGCACGTCGCCGACCATGCGCCTCAACCTGGGACCGTGCCTGCAGCACAGAGGTATCCGGAAATCCTTCGTCAGCATCACCCCGTGCGCGTCTCCGTCGTCCCCTTGTCCTCATGCCCGTATTGTTCCTCATTATGTCACGTCCCCCTGCCCTCCGAACCTCCTTCAGAATCTTGGTCGCCATCGTGGTCGTGCATTTACCCTCCATGTGCAACCCAACGCTGTGGCATCATATCGCCCCCCAGCGGCGCGCAACGCAACGGTTCCTGAATTTGGCGCTCACAAAGGATCGCGCGCCCGCGACGCCACCACCGCCACCACCACCAGCGCGAGGCGCCTGGGAGGGTCCTCCTTGAGGCGCGCACCCTCCCCCCCTGTTCCCGCTCGACGCGCCCCCATATCCCCACCTCGGGGAGACATGGTGAACTTCTTCGCTGGAGGTGGCGCTCCTGGGGGTGGTGGCGCCGCCTCTCCTTCCGCCGACCTAGCACGCCCACCCGTCCCGAGGCACCCTGCCCCTGGGCCTCTGGTCCTCATATCGGCATCTGGCCATCGCTCGGACGTCCATTCCCTGTGTTTTTTTCCGGCTTCGTGCGTGGTGTTTTCGCCAAATGATCAAGGATGCTCCTCGATAGTCCTCGCCGAAGGAAAAATGCGCACGTCCGAGCGATGCCAAGGCATCGGGGCTCTGCTGGTTGCTGGGCTGGCAGCCGCGGTTGCCACGAGAGGCGTCCGGCCGAGCGCGAGGCCTCCCAGGCCTCACCACGCCCCTCTGCTGGCAAGCGGTCGGGGTGAACAGCTGGCCCCGGGGGAGAGGAACAAGGACAGGCGACGCCGCCACCGCCGGTTCGAGGAGCCAAGGGGGGGAAGGTCCTCCTGGTGGCGCGGCCGCCCCTCCCCGCTCGAGACGTCCCTTATCCCCAGCTCGGGGAGGCATCGTTGACCCCCTCGCTGGAGGTAGTCCCTGGTGGCGGTGGCGTCGCATCTCCTGCTTCCGAGGGAGGAGGTCCAGACTTCTGGGGCGCACCGATGTGAGACGAATGCGACGTCGCGTGCCTGGGTTCAGCAGAGTTGGGCCCAACTAGCAGAGCCGCCTGAGTGTGTAAGCCCTGCCAGGCCAGGTAAGACTTCGGCCAAGGGTATGGCAGGGCCTGGTTCAGGAGTCCAGGAACTGGAGGGGGAGGAGGCGGGAGGAGGAGGAGGAGGAGGAGGAGGACCAGTGTAAACCCAAGAGGCATCAACGATGTTGGAATAAACCCTCCCTCCGAGCTCCCTCTCCATAGGCCCCTACAACGGTTCATTTTCATTGAAGGAACTGCCTCGTTGGAAGACAACCGTTTGAAGACCCTACAACATGCTAACACATTGTTCTCGGCATTCCACCGTCTCGGATCAACCTGACTGCTGCGTGTTGGCGATCCAGAATCGTGCCATCATGCTATTCCTGGGACTTCAACAAAGCGAATCAACATAACTGCTGCACCCAAGAATCCTGAACCCTTTCAAAACACAAGTTCTGGTACGCTGATGATGGACATCCGTGAACCTCTTGCAAAAGTCGAAGACGAACGTGCGCCGCGCTGAAGCGAGAACCACATTTTGAAAACCACCCGCCCTCAACCCGTGGAACTCTTGAAATTGTTTGAATCGAGTGTGCGCCGCGCTGGGGCGAGAGCCACATCTTGAAAAGGAGCCCTCCCCAATCCGTGAACCTCTTGCACTTTGTAATCGAATGTGCGCCGCGCTGAAGCGAGAACCACCTTTTGAAAACGACCCGCCCTCAATCCGTGAAGCTCTTGAACTTGTTGTAATCCAATGTGCGCCGCGCTGAGGCGAGAACCACATTTTGAAAGCGACCCGCCCTCAATCCGTGAAGCTCTTGAACTTATTGTAATCCAATGTGCGCCGCGCTGAGGCGAGAACCACATTTTGAAAACGACCCGCCCTCAATCCGTGAAGCTCTTGCAAATTTCTCTCACGAATGTGCGCCGCGCTGAGGCGAGAGCCACATTTTGAAAACGGCTCGCCCTCCATCCGTGAAGCTCTTGCAAATGTTGAAAACGAATGTGCGCCGCGCTGAGGCGAGCCACATTTTGAAAACGACCCGCCCTCAATCCGTGAAGCTCTTGCAAATGTATCTCACGAATGTGCGCCGCGCTAAGGCGAGAACCACATTTTGAAAACGGCTCGCCCTCAATCCGTGAAGCTCTTGCAAATGTTGAAAACGAATGTGCGCCGCGCTGAGGCGAGAGCCACATTTTGAAAACCACCCGCCCTCAATCCGTGAAACTCTTGCACATTTCTCTCACGAATGTGCGCCGCGCTGAGAGGCGAGAGCCACATTTTGAAAACGGCTCGCCCTCAATCCGTGAAGCTCTTGCAAATGTTTGAAAACGAATGTGCGCCGCGCGGAGGCGAGAGCCACATTTTGAAGACCGCCCGCCCTCCATCTGTGAAGCTCTTGCACATGTCTCTCACGAATGTGCGCCGCGCTGAGGCGAGAACCACATTTTGAAAACGGCTCGCCCTCAATCCGTGAAGCTCTTGCAGATGTTGAAAACGAATGTGCGCCGCGCTGAGGCGAGAGCCACATTTTGAAAACGGCTCGCCCTCCATCCGTGAAGCTCCTGCAAATGTTTAAAAACGAATGTGCGCCGCGCTGAGGCGAGAGCCACATTTTGAAAACCACCCGCCCTCAATCCGTGAAGCTCTTGCAAATGTTTGAAAACGAATGTGCGCCGCGCGGAGGCGAGGGCCACATGTTTGAAAACCACCCGCCCTCCATCTGTGAAGCTGGAGGAGGAGGAGGAGGAGGAGGACGAGGAGGTGTGAAGCTGTTGCCAATTCTAAGCTTCAGAATCATACTGATGAGGAAGCCTCGGGCGAAACGCCCGGACGAGCCTTAAAAACTCGCCTGGTGCGACAGGGAGAAATTAGTTATGAGGAAAAGGAATGGAGGAGGAGGAGGAGGAGGAGGAGGAGGAAGAGGAGGAGGAGGAGGAGGAGGAGGAGGGAGGAGGAGAGGGGGAGGAGGAGGAGGGGGAGGAGGAGGGAGGAGGAGAAATTATTTATTAGGAAAAGGAATGGAGGAGGTGGAGGAGGAGGACGCGTGGCTGGCCGATCCCCCGCCCACAAGCAGGACGGTCCGCACCGAACCGGGAAGCCTCAACCAAGATCGGAACGCGGGCGTCGGATCGGGCCGCATTGGCACGGCGTCGACAGCGAAGCAGAGCGACCGCGACAGCATGCACGGTCACAGCGCAGTGCGAGCAGAGGGCAGCACTGGGCTGTCGATCGAAGTGCAGTGGATAAGTGCGCTGTGGAATCTTGCTGTAAAGACTCCGGGGGGGGGGGGGGGCACGCGTGTCTTCGGGCTTGAGGCTCCCCGAGGTGCCACAGGGCCTCTGTTGGCTCCCCAGGGCCTTCGGAGGGATACGAAAACTCCGTGGGCTGACGCGCCTTCTGTACGGTGGGGGCCCGACCACAACAAACCTTCCACAAGAAACCCAACCCTGAGACACCAGGACGTCCCTTGATTTTTGGCGTGGGAACGCCACGCATTCCATCGCAAAACCATCGAAACCCAAGAAACCCAGGGCACCCTGGAGGCAAGCAGGGTGTTTCTTGGCATGGGCCCCCACTGCATCGGCATCGAAGCAGATCGAGTCCGCCAGACCCGACACCACATGGAATCGCACGGACGGATCGATATGGGCCCTGGCGGGCGCCCCCGAGCTCCTTGCTCCGCCCCAGGGCTCTGCGAGTGCCCGCCAGGCGGCTCTGGCTTGCGCAGTCTGGCCTGCGCGGAGGGGGTTGTGGGGGGGGGGGGGGGGGCGGGGCGCAACCCAGCGCAGATCGACTACAGGTGAAAACAACATGCACATTGAACAAGAATTGGGGAGTGAGAAATGAACACCCATAGCAAGCCGCGACGACCAATCTCGCAGGGGCCGAGTGGAGATGGCCCCCCATGTGCTGCCCCCCAGGTAAGGCTCCCATGGGTTTCCCTCATGTATTGCCCCCCCTGCCCAACGCGCACACACAAACACATACACGTATGCACCGAATCATGGCCAGGTCCATCCTGGACCCAAGATCGGTGCCTGCACCCTCCTGGCTCGACCAGGGGGGCATGTGCACCCGTCCTGGGCCCTGGATGAACTTGGAAAAGATCGGTGACTGCGTACACTTCTCATCGCCCGATCCAGGGGGATGGGCACGAAGAGCGAGCGGGCACGCCTGCCTTAAGCCTATCGGCAGAGTCGCTGGCAGCAATGCTGGTGATGCGAGGTGTCCCCTGAGCGAGCCGATGTGCTCAGAAAAAAAAAGTCGTGCCTGCAATGATGGCCATGCGGTGTGCATTGTCCGCGAAACGGCATGGTTGGAGTGCGCTTCCTGGCATCAAAGTTGGCAGCATCGTGATCATCAGGTGCGAACGGGCGCGCCTGGAGCGAGCTTCCCTGCAAATTCGTCGACAGAAATGCATGCGAGATGCACCCCAAGCCGGACGGCACGCTCGGAAGCAACACCCTGCCAACATCCCTGGCATTGCGATGTGCGGTGCCCACGAACAGGCACAATTGAAGTGTGCTTCCTGGCGACAACGTTGGCAGCGTGGTGGTCATCAGGTGCATGGGGGCACGTTCGAGCGACCCCTCATCCTCCTTGCCTCCCTCCTTCCTCCCCGTCAGCTCCGTCGTTTGCCTGACTATTCCATGTCCTACAACAACTCCTTTTATCCTACAACTCCTCCTTCTTTCTCTCCTCCTCCTCCTCCTCCTCGTCTTTCTCCTCGTCCTCATTCTCTTCCTCCTCCTCCGCTTCCTCCTCCTCCGCCTTATCCCCTTCTCCCTTCTCCTCGCCATCCTCTCCCGCCGCATCCGTTTGCCTCCTCGAGGACGGGCTGGGGGGGGGAGGAAAAGGACGAGAAAGCCGAGGGGGTGGAGGGGGAGGAGGAGGAGGAGGAGGAGGAGGAGGAGCGGAAAGGAACGAGACCCTGGGGTGGAAGGGGCAAGGATGGAAGTTGAGCCTGGCCAACCTCTAAAAACCAACCCTTAACCAAGCCCCTAACTACCCCCCCGCCCACCACACTGCACTTACCTGGATTGACGCCCAGACGCCTTTCGAAGATGATGAGGGCGGATGAACTGAGGCGGCAAAGGAGGACAGGGAGAAGGGAGGGAACCAAAGGTAGGGCAGAGTGAGGGGGCCGAACGGTTATTCAATGTCCCTGGGTGCGTGGCTGAAGTCGGCTTCCGTGTGCAGATTGTTGTTGTTGTTGGTATTGTTGTTGTTGTTGTTGTTGTTGATGTGTTGTTGTTGTTGTTGCTGTTGTGGTTCCTGTTGCTGTTGTTTTTGTTGTTGTTGATGTTGTTGATGAAGTTGTTGAAGAAGAACTGTCACGACTGAAGAATACACATTGCTGATCCCCCCTCTGGTGACCATTGTGGTGTTTCAATTGAAATGCTTCCCCCGGGGCTCGCGCCTTGTTTTTTTGCATCTGGGGAAGTTACAGGGCTCAAACTGGGCCCCTTGCCCCCGGTTTACAACAACAGCGGCTCCCGCCTGATACCTTCTCACGATGTATTCCCAAATCGCGCTCTCGCGCGGGACGCCACCACAATTCACGTACGCATCGCGCTCTCGCGTGGGACTTCTTTGCGACTTATTCAAACGATGCGCCTTCATCGCTCAGGAATCACGCTCTCGCTCTGGCGGTTCTCACGATTTACTTGGGAATCGCGCGATCGCTCGAGATTTCCTCGCGATTCATGCAGAACCCACGCTTCAGCAACCCGCGTGCTCGACCTGGTCGCCTGGGCACACCTTCCCGACCTGCCCGCGATGGGTCTGCCCACCCGATCTGCCCGTTTGGTTATACCATTGTTGTTCTGCTCCTTGCCCCCCTCCTCCAAATTTCTCTCGTGTCCCATTATTATCCATCCCCCTTCCGCCCGTCCTCCCTTCCCTTGTGTTAGGGCTGCACTACATGCGCGTGGCAGTTAAGGCTGATATACCCAAAAGGGGTACGATCGAAGACAACGAAGGCGGGTACCGAGGGCCTGGGATATACGTACTGGTTGGCAAGTGAACAAACACGAGCAAACATGTTTAAAATGAATGTGGTTGTGGTTGTTGATGTAGTTTGTGGTGTAATTGTTGTCGTAGTTGTTGCTGTTGTTGTTGTCGAGTTCCCATTCTGGAAGAAGAATTATTGTTGACCCCCCGTGCCCGATAACATTATTTTTTCAATGTGAAGCGGTTCTCCTGGGATTCGCACCCTGTTTCCCACAAGAGAAAGCGAAGGGTCACCAATCTGGGCCCCTGGCCCCGGTTTACAACGACAACGGCTCCCTCCTGGTATTGCGGTATTTCCTCACGATGTATCCCCAGATCGCGCTCTCGCGCGGGACGTCCTCGCAGTGTGTACAGGAATCGCGCTCGCGCGTGGGATTACCTCGCCATGTATTCAGACGCCGCGCCCTCGACACTCAGAAATCACGCTCTCGCCGCTGACCTGGCGGTTCGTTAATTCTGGAATCGCGCTATCGCCCCCGATTTCGTCGCGATTCATGCGCGACGCACGCTTCAGCAACCCGCCTGCTCGACTTCGCCGCCTGGGCCCGCCTTCCCGACCCGCCCGTTAGGGTCTACCCGCCCGATATGCCCATCTGGTTATGCCACGTGCTTTTTGTTCCTAGTCCTCCTCCTGCTACTCTCTCTCTCTCTCTCTCTCTCTCTTTTTCTCTCTCTCCATCTCGTGGTCCATCCTCCTCCCTCCCCCTTGCCCCTCTCTTCCATCCGTCCTGTCTTCCCCTGCCGTAGGGGCTGCGTGAAATACACGCTGCAAGTAAGACAGATATACCCAAAGGGGGCGCGCTCGAAGACGAAGAGGGCGTGTGCCGAGGGCTCGGGGATTAGATGCTGAATGGCACGCGCGCAACTAAGAGCGAACAAACTTAACATGCGTGTTGTTGGTAATGTTGCTGTTGATGCTGCTGGTACTGTTATTAATTTGGCTGCTGATGTTGCTGTTGTTGTTGTTGCTTTTGTTGTTGTTGGTGGTGCTGTCGTTGTTGAAGCATCATGTGCGAAAATAATCATGATTCATCCACCCACCCGGGGCGCAATGCATGTGTCAAATATAGTTCTTATCCGGGACTCGCACCCTTACACACATATATATATGTACATGTGTATATATTTGTATACATATATATATATATATACAATGATATATGTATACATGTACATATATCTATATACGAGAACCACGCGTGCGCTTCGCTCGCGCTTAGGTTCTAGCCGTGGCCACGGAACAGCTCCACGGTAGAGTGTGGAGAGGGCGCTGAGGGTCATAGCACAAGGGATCTGCTCACCGGGTATATGTTGTCGTACAGGTCCTAAAGAGCGCCGGGGCCCGCGATGGTGGAGCACAGCCTCCACAAGGCACGGCGCCCACCCGAGGCCGAAGACGGCGAAGAAACGTATCCGAATGGAGGCTCGATGCCTGACGATGAACCAAAGGAACATGGAATCCTGCAGCGTTTCCCGCGAGACCAATACATGGGGAAAAAGCACGAGTATGGCCCGTGGATTCCGTTTGTCGTGCACCTGTGACATGTATCTTGGGAGCCCATCGGGGGCTTCTGGCGGCCTCTTGGGGGCCTCCGGGGCGCTTCTTGGAGTCTCCTAGGGGCTTTTTGGGGCCGAAGGCCCGACAGGTTCGTTCGGATTCCCTGTCTGGGCCCCTTCTCAGAGCCGTCTTGGGGCTATCTTGGACCGTCGTGGAGGCCTCTTGGGCTGCTTAAGTCCCTCTCGGGCTGTCTTGGGGCCGTCTTGGGAGCCTCTTGGACCGTCTTTGGGCGATCTCGGGAGCCTCTTCGGCAACTTGGAACGTCGGGAAGCCGAAAAGGTGAGAACCACAAGCAATCCTCAAAAACGCTCGAAAAAAAGCAACCATTGCTTGCCTCTTGAAGCCCTCTTGAAAAAGCCTTTTGGAGGCCTCTTGGGGCGTCTTGGAAGCCTCTTGGGCCATCTAGGGACTATCTCGAGCGTCTCGGACCGATCTTGTGGCGACTCGGAGCCCTCATGGACATCTTGGGTGCTTCCTGGGGCCGTCTTGGAAACCTCCTGGGGGCCTCCTGGGCCGTCTGGAGGACCCTTGGAGGCGCCAGGGCGGGGGTATCAAAAAAGGAGGCCCGATGGTTTTGAGGTGGGCGGGGCCCCCGGGCTGGGGACCTGGTTTTCATCCATATATGTATATATACACACATATATATATATATATATATATCAGGGAAAGCGAAGGGTCACTAAACTGGGCCCCTGGCCCGGGATTTACAACAACAGCGGCTCCCATCTGATACTTCCTCACAATGGATTTCCAAATCGCGCTCTCGCGCGGGACGTCCTCACTATGTATACAAGAATCGCGCTCTCGCGTGGGATTCATTCGCCATTTATTCAGACGCCGCGCGCTCGACACTCAGGAATCAAGCTCTCGCTGTGGATCCCCTTGCGATGTATATGGGGCTCGCGCTATGTTCCCCGACGTCTTCGCGATTCAAGCAGAACGCACCCTTCAACAACCCGCTTGCTCGACCTGGCCGCTTGCGCCCGCCTTCCCGACCCGCCCGTTAGGGTCGACCCGCCCGATCTGCCCTTCTGGTTCTGCCACGTGTTTCCCGCTCCCCTTCTGATACTCTCTCTCGTGCTCCATCTTCCTCCCTCCCCCTTGGTCCATCCTTCATTCCGTCCTCTCTTCCCCCGCCTCGGGGACTGCACGGAACACGCGTTGCAGGTAAGGAAGATTTGCCCCAAAAGGGGCCACGACCGAAGACGAAAAGGGCGGGTACCAAGGGTTTGGGATATACGTGCTTACTGGCGCGAAAGCAGAACAGAGCGAGCAACATTGAAACGATTATTGGTGTTGGATTCCGTGGTTATGTTGTTGTTGGTTCTTGTGATGTTGGTGTTGGTGGTGTTGCGGGTGGTGTTGTCGATGTCGAAGTCACATTTATTACACATATTGTTGACCCCCCTCCGCCCATACTTCAAGTAAAAAGCTTTTCCTGGGACTCGCACGTTTTTTTGTTTTTTCTTTAAAAAAACATTGATAATGTAAAAGCATGAAAGGTCGCCAAACTTGGACCCTGGCCCCCCCGGCTACAACAACAACGGCTCCCGCCTGATATGTCCCCACTGTACATTGAAGAATCGCGCTCTCGAGCTAGCAGGGCGTCCTCACATTGTATACAGGAATCGCGCTCTCGCGTGAGACTCCCTCGCAAGTCATTACGCGTCGCGCCCACGACATTCAGGAATCACGCTCTCGTTGTGGATTATCCCATGACGCATTTGGGAATCGCGCTATCGCTCGAGACTTCCTCGCGACTCCTGCAAGACGCACGCTTCAGCACCCCGCCTGCTCGACCTGGCTTGCCGCCTGGGTCCGCCTTCCCGACCCGCCCGTCAGGGTCTACCCGCCCGAACTGCCCACCTGGTTCTGCCACATGCTTTCTGCTCCTAGCCCCACTATTGTTTTGCTTTCTCTCGTGTTCCATCCTCGTCACTCCCCTCCCGTCATTCCTTCCGTCCGTTCTTCCCCCTGCCTTAGGGGCTGCACGAACGACACGTTGCAGGCAAGATATATATATATATATATATATATGTATATGTGTATATATATATATATATACACACCCCCGCGAGGATACGATCGAAAACGGAGAAGGCGGGTATCGAAAATGTCGGATATACGCGTTGAGTGTTGGATCCTTCCTTCCGTCCTTGTGTCCTTCCTTCGTTTTCTCTCGTTCTCCATCCTCCTCCCGCCCCCTTGGTCCATCCGTCCTTCTGTCCTCTTTTCCCCCGCCGTAGGGACTGCACCAAACACACGCGGCAAGTAAGGAAGATAGACCCCAAAGGGGGTACGATCGAAGACGAAAAGGGCGGGTATCAAGGGTTTGGGATATACGTGTTAACTGGCCCGCGAGAAGATCAGAGCGAACAGTTTTAGCTTGAGTCTTGTTGGTGCTGTTGTTGTTGGTGGTGGTGGTGTTGTTGATGTTGTTGTTTGTGGTGGTGCCGTTGATGTTGAATCTGCATTGCTTAGGCATATACACTGTTGATTCCCATCCCCCACGCGAGCAGATAAGAACAAACAGTCTTAGCATGATGATCGTTGTTGTTTTTGCTGCTGCTGCTCTTGTTGTTATCGTTGGGACTCCCTCACGGCTTATTTAAGAATCGAGATATCGCTGCCCTTCGTGGCCCCGTTGCATCCCTTCGTGGCCCCATACATGTATGCCCTTCGTGGCCCCCACTCATTCGCCCCCGTCGTGGCCCCATATGCGTGCGCCTCGTGGCCCCGCTGTCACCCTTCACGGCCCCCATCGCTGCTCTTCGCGGCCCCGTTGCTACCCTCAGTGGCCCCGTTCTTGTCCTCTGCGGCCCAGTATACGCATGCCCTTCGTGGCCCCCGCGCGGTCGCGCCCGTCGTGGCCACATATGCATGCCCTTCGTGGCCCCGCTGTCGCCCGTCGTGGCCCCCTCGCTGCCCTTCTTGGCCCCGCTGTCGCTCTCGCTCTCGCTCCAGGTCTCGCTTTCGCTCGTCGTCGTCGCCGTCGCCGTCGCCGTCGTCGTCGTCGTCGTGGTCGGTCTCCTGTCCGTCCCTTCTGGAGCTGGGTTGCCGCCGATGGGCGCTGCCGCTGGCCAGGCCGACGGTCCGCGGCCGCCCCGCCGCTTGCCGGGACCCGGCTTGCAGGGAAGAAACATATAGCCCCCCAAAGGAGCACGATCGAAGACGAAGAGGGCGGGTATCGAGAGCTTGGGGAATGCAGCGTGAATGACACCCGAGCAAGTAAGAGCGAACAATCTTAAAACGATTGCTGTTGTTGCGTTGCGTTGCGTTGCGTTGCGTTGCGTTGCTTTGTCGTCCTCCCACCCGCGACCCACCTGCGATCCACATGCGGCCCACCCCGCGACCCACCCGCGACGCAGCCCGCGACACACCCGCGACCCACCTCGCGACCTACCTGCGACCCACCCCGCGACCCACACCGCGACCCACTCGCGACCCACCCGCGACCAAACCCGCAACCCACCCTCGACCCACGCGCACCCGCGTTCCACCGACATTGCTTTAACGAAGAAATCGACGCCTGCGGCGAGCTCGTTGAGCACCTTGTGAAAGTGAGGCGCCTGCGGCGGGCTTCTTCAAAACCTCGCAGACTGCCGACGTCTCCGCCGCCCACTCACTCTTATCCACCACTGCGGGGCGCTACATACTTCAAGATCTCTCGGCGGGCACGTCTCCTTTTCGGGGGCGACACACAATATTAGCAGCATGTTGGGGTGACGCCGGCTCGTTGTTTGCGTTAGGCAAACTTTGAGCGGAACTCGTAGCGTCGACCAGGATGGCTGTTATGGAAAGCGTGGAAACCGTCCCAGAGAGAACCATGTGCAACTTGAAAAGCTATGGCGTGACAGGGTGCCAGGTGTCTTGGTCCTCCTCCAGAAGCCTCTTAGATGGGGCCAAACTCGTTGGGGTCGGAAGATCGTGCCGCTTCTCTGGTACATCGGCGATGCACCCACGATGCGTTGTCGACGTCGGCGCTGCATCGGGGACGCTGGCGTGGGGAAGCCGCGGGCTCCACATCGAACCGCATCGCCGATGCATCGGCGATGCGGCGCGATCCTCTGACACCATCTACTCTGCCCCATCTGGGAAGCCTCGATCCTCCTCCTCCTCCTCCTCCTTCTCCTACTCCTCCTCCTTCTCCTCCTGGCACCAGTCTAGGTGTGTTCGCGTTGAACCCACTTGTGGAGATTGCATGTCCTGTCCTGTCCTGTCCTGTCCTGTCCTGTCCTGTCCTGTCCTGTCCTGTCCTGTCCTGTCCTGTCCTGTCCTGTCCTGTCCTCCTCCTGCTCTTCCTCGATCCTCGATCCTCGATCCTCGATCCTCCTCCTTCTGCTCCTCCTCGCCCCCGTCCTCCTCCTACTCCTCCTCCTCCTCCTCGTCCTCCTCCTCCTCCCCCTCCTCCTCCTCATCCTCCTCCTTTTCCTCCTCCTTTTCCTCCTCCTCCTCCTCCTCCTCCTCCTCCTCCTCCTCCTCCTCCTCCTCCTCCTCCTCCTCCCTGGGGAGCCACGGGCGAGGGGGGGCGGCGGCCTTCGGGGCCGCTCCGGGCAGCGGTGCGTCGGCGCGGGCCTGAAACCGCCGCGCGCCGCTGCCCGCCACCGCTCGCCGCTCGTCGCAAGCGCCTGCTTCCAGAGGGCCACCCCAGAGCCCCTCGGAGCCCCTTCGGTGCGAGGCGGTGAGCCATCCACATCCAGCGCCTGGGGAGCGACGTCCTGGGACCCAACCGGCGGTGGATGCGGAGATGATTTGGCCCCTGGGGGCCAGAATATATCCTCGTCCACCGCCTGCGGAGGTCCGCGAAATTCGATCCTCCAGGCGGCGGTGGTGCATGAGTAGGTGCGGCCGATTGGCACCAACCCAGCGGACGGAACCACACATACAAACAAGACGTGTTCAAACTGATGTAGTTGAGCAAGATCGCTGCGGCACGAATGGGCAAGAAGTTCGTAGCGAGCACTCGTTTGAAATGTCTGGCGCTCTGACAGCGAAAAATCGAACGCGCACGTTTGCATAACAAAGAAGCAGCGACTCGTCGCTCGGGGATGTAACAACCCGAAGTACAGTCGCCCACGGCAAGCAGCATATCATCAGGACCGGCGCCGCCAAACTCCAGAACCAACCAGCAAAAGAACCATCAAGTTTCGAACGTCGCGCTGAAAAAGGCGTTACACACATAAAGCGGGAGTCCGATGCTGGCTGGCGGCTAACATCCACGACGTGGCGGGCGACGCCCTGGAAAAAAAAAACGGTTCGACGCAGAAGAGACTAACAATGAAATGTGATTCGGGCGTGGGGGGCGGAGGTGAACCGCGATATGACCGTCATCATCGTTGACGCCGCCGTGGTTCACCGATGTTGGGGCGGCATGTTTCGCACTCGCCACCGCTATCAATATCGTTCGTGAAACTCGCGGCGCCTCTAGAAGCGCGCGAAAACGCGGATGCCCCTCGAAAGAGGCGGGGCGAGGGTGGGCAGGGGAGGAGAAGGGCGGGGATGGCGAGAGAAGAAAGTAATGGGAGGAGGAAGGTTTGGGCAGGGGGGGCGGGATCGGGGGTAGAGAATGGACAAGGGAGGAACGCAGGAGGACGAAGGGGGGAGGAGGAAGAGAAGGGGGAGGGAGGGGCGGAGGAAGGAAGAGGAGGAGGGGGGAGGCCAAGGAGGAAGAGGGAAAAACCAACAGGCCTTGCCAAAAAACATTATCCTCCTCCGTTCTCCTCCACCAGAAACTTCTGGGCGGCCTTCCGGGCCTCGACGGGCGCGAACCAAAAATCAGAGCCGCTGGCGCAACGCCGCCAGTCCGTCTGAAGCTTCGGGGCGCCAATGGGGGCCTTGGGGCTGAACCAAAAGTGAAAACAAAGCCGGACCCGAAGAAAGATTCGCGATCACTCACAGCCCAGACCTCTTACGGTCGTGATTTTTTCATGACGCGTGCATAAGTCATGAAAAAAATCATGCGTCATGAAAAAAATCAGGACGTTGGGCAAAAATCATGACATGTTAATAACACTCGCCCAAGCTGTGTATATCAAGCCTTGTCAGATCTGTCAATATGCCAATGTTTCGATGCTTGTCAATGCTGTCAAGATTGTCAAGTAATCAAGACTGCCAATATCTGCTATCAAACCTTGAGACATGACCAAGACAACTCAACCAATCTACATTTTTATTTCACTGAATACATATCAAAATATACTTATATCCAGACCTGCCAATACTGTACTGACTTAAGATGCACGCCTGGACAAACGAGTGCATATCCAAGTCATTCATCACGCAAACAACATATACCCACGGGACAAGGGTACGCACGTGCGCTGTATACTACCAAGTGTTGCCCTGAGCTCCGTTAGCGCGGAGCCTCGTTACCGTGAGCCACGGCGAGGAGGAGGAGGAGGAGGAGGCCAGGAGGAGGAGGAGGAGGATCCTTCGCACCCTCCGCGGCGCTTTCACGACCATGCGCCGAGCACCGCGTTGCGGAGCTGCTGGTCGTACCACGCGTACGTACCTGCACAGGCGATCAGGGCTGGAGCTCCCAATAGGGACACGATCCGTGCGGGGCGGGTGTTCTTGGTTTGCCCAAGGCACCCGCCCGTCGGCACCGCCGACGCGTCCACCCACACCAACGCCATGAAGAGGGCTCGGTGCTAGCTGGGCGGTTGACGTGGAGCCACCAGTGGGCGGGGCGCCCGCCCACGATGGGTCCACCCAAAAAGAACCACCAGCAAGGCCACGGCCCCCACCCGTGCACGCAGACGCGCCGCGGCGCCCAATGGCGGCCGCGGCGCCCCGACCAAACGGGAGCAGGGCGGGGGCGGGGCGCAGGGGAGGCGGCCGAGCCCACGCGGCAGGGTGGGGAGCTTAAGTAGACCCCCCCTCCAGCAAAGCAAAGCTTCAAGCCACTCATGGCTACTTTGAGCTGCGGCGGGAGGAGGAGGAGGAGGATGAGGAGGAGGAGGAGGAGGAGGAGGAGGAGGAGGAGGAAGAGGAGGAGGAGGAGGAGGAGGAGGCCCGAGGAGGAGGAGGAGGCCCGAGGATGAGGCCCGAGGGGGAGGTGGGAGAGGGGGGGGAGGAGGGGGGAGGCAGGGGGGGGAGAGGAAGAGGCGGAGGCTCAGGAAAAGGAGGCCCTGCAATGCCAGCCTTCCATGGAGTGGGAGAGGAGAGAAAGGACGGAAGAGGCGGGAGGGAGGAGGATGGGGGGGGAGGAGGGAACAAGAAGACAAGAGCGTCCTCGATTTTGCTCCTGCCGCAAGCCTCCACATGATGAAATCAGTTGCCTGAAACAGCTTCGGCCGCAAGCCGCCAGTCGCGGAGGCAGGGACACACCAATGGCAGGCAGGGTAAACCATACATAAATACATATATATATATATGTACATACACACACGCGTGCATGCTGTATGTATGTATGCATGCATGCCTCCCTGCCTGCCTGCCTGCCTGCCTGCCTGCCTGCCTGCATGCATGTATGTATGTATGTATGTATGTATGTATGTATGTATGTATGTACGTATATATCATCCTCTCAACCCTGCTCGGCGCCAGCCTGCGCGCAGACGCAGGGTCGCGAAGGGAAACCACAGCCCACACGAATCCATAATCATGTGTTCGATGTGTGCACATAGGAACCACTTATAATCCATCTGCAGGACGTACTGGGCAACCCGAACGACGCGAAGAACCGCCTCACGAACACGATGGCCATGGTTGTCCCTGCACGGCAGAGTGCAGCCCAATTTACACCAAGCTCCTCTCGAAGGTCCCAGAGATCAGAGGATCTCAGGGATGACCTTCTCAAGGAACCTGACATAAAATGTGTTTCCGCCGTGAAGGGACATGGCCACCGTCTTCATAAGGCGGTTCTCCGCCTCGTCCGGGTACGTCCAGTACGCCCTGGGGTTGCCCTTCGCAACGACCTGCTCCGCCAAATGGACGGCCACGTGGAATTTGTACACTTGGTGGCCTTTGTACTTCGTCCACGCCTGCAGAAAGTTCAACATATTCGTCTGGGACAAGGAAGGATAATGCAAACGCCCACGCAAGCCGGGGGGGGGGAGGAGGAAGGGTAGACGAGGGAGGATAGGCACGGATAGGGAAGCAGAGGGCGGACGGAGGAGCGGGGGAGGAAGAGAAGAGGGGGGAGGGAGGGGAAGGGAGTATATATATATATATACTTATCGAACCGAATCCAGCAAAGACGTGGCGCACGATGGATTTCGAACCACGAATCCAGCAGAAGACGCGGCTTACGAGGACAGCGGCGTTGGGCCACTGGTTGGGGTTGATGCAAAGTCCCACCTTGTCAATGGAAGGCATCAGCTGCAGCTTGGTTCATACGGCGCGGCTCCCCGTCTTGAGCTTTGTACACGTTGTGCAAGAACACGCACGCATCCTTAAAATGCTGTTTCCGTGGGCCTAAACTTGCGTAGCTCTCGTTGCACAACTGCGGTAGCAGTGGAACTAAATGACGGGTCTCAGCGGCCTTGGCCTTAAGTCTGGGCTTGCCGCCCGCCTTGGTCGGTTTGAACATTTTCATGGTAATGCGGTCTACGCTGCTCTTGTTGGAGTCCTTCTGGTTGGCACCGATCGATAAATAGTATGCTCTCATGCGCCTGCGTAAGTGCAGGAGACTATCATGCAGGCGAAGGTTAACTCTGCGCTTGACCGAGTGCGAGAAATTGTTTTTTACCAGCTGCCAGAAAACTGATCCGATGACATACTGTGCAACTCCCAAGTCCATGACGTGCATGGCGTCCACGTGCAGCGTCTCTACGGAGACGCCTTTGATTGTGAGCATTGGTGCCACGAGGTCCAATCCGTTGGAGTTCTTCGCATCGAAAAATACGAGCTCGGCGGGCAGATCGATCTCCGAGAGTCTGTGGACGTCGCGCACGGCCTCGCTTTCCACAACACGGAACCCAGTTTTGAGATCAAGGTCTGGACAGTTCTTCCAAAGGGCGAAGCCCCCATAGATTGAGTCTACCCGCATGCATTGCACAAGCTTGCGAAGCACGCGTTGGTTCTCAACGCGCACTCTCTTGATGCACGCATCTACCATCTCTTGATATACGACCTTGTCTTTTTTTCTCCAAGTGATCGCCTCGAAAGTTGGTGGGCGTTGAAATATCCTCGTCTTGTGAACGGTGCAAAAAGAACACGGGTGCCGCACATTCTGCCATGTTTTAAAGCCAAACGCCGACGTGAGCTCTAACAAGTCACAGCGTATTTCAGTCAGCGCCGCTCTCCATCCATCAGCGAGGGGCATGCCCCTGCACAGCTCCCTGTCCACATCAAGAGGGAGGCCCTCATGGTTGAAAGATGGGTGCGTGCCTGTTGCGAGACAGTTAAAGCTCCATCTAAGTACCCGAGATATCTGACCAAAGCTGCAATGCCCGTGGCACCCGCACTTGCAGGTATCTTGTTTGCGGATACAGCATAACATGTACCTCCTCTTGGTAAACGTATTGGACATGTAATATATCACGAACGTATCTTTCTTACTCCATGGTACTCCATCGGAAAAAAATCCAACGGATGTCGTTCGGCCTGGAGCCTCTTGTGCAACCTTGTGG